GACTTGAGTCACAATGGACAAAATTGAGTGCTTGATTTAAAACACAGACTAAGGCTCATTATCAGTATTTTAATTTACTGTATGCTTTATGCTGTAGAAAAAGTTTACTGTAAATCAATAAGTGGGAAAGGTTTAACAAGGTTTACAAGAAATGTTTCAGTGTTGTGATGATGGGATAAGTGATTGGAAGCACATTAGGAAGCAATGATTTTTGAATGTTACATGTTTAGAAAGTACTTTCAAGTTACTTACCTCAAACTTTACAATCTCTTTGTTGTGATGATTCCAGGAATTTATCAATATTGAAGAATAATGGAGAAGTAGAAAGCTAATAACTTTCCTGTTATCTCGTTATGATTTCTGACTCACCATTTATTGTGTGTTTAAATTTTCTTTGTCCTACTGATAATTCATTTGCATTGGTTCCATTCTCAGTTTTTTATGACTAAAGAGAGTGTCATTGGAAACAAACTGTATCTCCACTGTGGGTGTGTATTATTGGAATACATTCTTCACACAACCACTGCAATGTTTCCTGATGACTTCCTTCAAAAAAGTTTTAGTTATGAGTGGTGACAATATCGTACAGTCTTTTGAGCATGATAAGTGGGGAATATGAAAAAATTAACCAAAGAAAGCTGCTCCACACACATCAGTTCTGAGGAGAGGTCACCGGACCCGAAACGTTATCTCTGTTTTTTCCTTCACAGATGCTGCCAGACCTGCTGGGCTTTTCCAGCAACTTTGTTTAAGTTCCTGATTTACAGCGTCTGCAGTTCTTTTGGTTTTTGTTTCAAAGAAACCTGCTACCAGTCACAGAAAATGATAATTGAAATGTGGTTCCAAATCAATTAGCTATGCTATGTTGGAGAGTGTTGAGCAGTTTCATATCAAATGCTTGCCACGCCCATTTCCCCCCCCCCCCACCTTACTTCTTTGTAGGAGACATTGAATCAAGCCTGTCATTGTAGTTCAGATGAATATCAACAATCCCCTATCATTTTATGAAGGAGGGAAGAAAATTCTTTCAGTTAGTTAATTTCATTTTGTTTGTAAGGCATAGTTGAGTGTGACTGCCATTTTACAATGTAGCAATAAGATCTCCTTATATATGAAGCAATTTGGAACTTTTCTTAGACATATACTAAGAGGTGACTTAAATGCTACTTTTCCTACAAAAGGTGTTCTTGACTTGTATCTTCACTTCTAACTGTTGAGTGTGGAGATCAGTTGGTTTTTAATGTGCAAATGGGAAGAAAAGACAGAAGGGCTGACATCCTGGTTACACAAACTTCCAAGCAGCCAGTTGGAGTATTGAATTGGCTATATTCCCTGGAGCATGCTCCCAAGCAGCTTATTTAATGAGTAGCTGAGCCCTACTAGCCAAGAAGACGGCAAGGTCAATGCAGGATCCAGTTAGTTGTTTTCAACATTCCTAGCTGGAGAAACAAAAATGATCCAAGATTTCTGCTCCTGATCAATATCTGACAACCCCTTTCTGGAAGTGAGCGTGCATAATTACCATGTGAGCCAGGGTTTGGCTAGACTATGGTAGTTAACGAATAACCTGTAGTTAATCACTGTTATATTAAAACATGAGTAATATTTACTTGCATAAGGTGTTAGATGAAATTGATGTCATGTGGAATTATATTTTGGAAAGAAGTCCTTTTGGGAGAGGAGTAGGGAAAATTTGGAGAATGCAGTAAAATTGACAGAGGCCATTTAGTAATCAGAAACAGCAGGTAGCTGTTAAGTGCAGTAGAAAGCAAAAAGCCAATGATACAGGGACCGTGTTCCCACTGCTGAGCCAGACAGCCAGGGTTCAAGTTCCAATGGCTCCAGAGGTGTGTCATAACATTTCTGAACAGGTTAATTTAGAAAAGAAATTTTGATAGCCAGTTGGCGAAGGATCATCCAGTTGATGGGCTGTGAGATTTCTGGATTGCTGCTAGGATTGGATTTTACAAGACTATTTTGTATTCTTTTGCATGCACTTTGAGAAACACAGAGGCGTCAATTTTTATTATGAAAATTAAGTTCTATGAATTTACATTTGGAACCTTCTTGAATGTGGCAAATGTTAGATTGTGTTTTTTTTTTCTACTACCATTTAATTTTCTCCTGTTAGATTTTTAAATTTAAGTTTTCTAGGTTTCTTTTGCCAGTCAAGGTGAAGGATTGCAGTGTGAGGAATAACACGGTTGCCTAGTTTGGCAGAAATTTTTTTTGTTTCCTCCTTCGTTAATGACTCACTAGTGAAACAATGGTAATGTGTGACTTTGGAACCTGCAAGTTTTGAGAATGCATTTTGTTAGCAAGCCAAAAAATTGCAGAGAAAAATAAGAGTAACTTCTGTTTCTCAATAAATGGTAAATTTCATCCTAGCCTACTCTCTGCTGTCATCATGAAGCACTTTGTGGCAGTTATATCAGGGAGTGACTGCAGACTGAAGTTCACTCTAGTGCATCCCACTGAAGATCACCTTACTGCCTCAGTGTGAACCTCACCCTAGCCATCAAGATAAAGCTCACAGTTTTTTTTTAAACATCATTTATGCCTAATTACAGCTAGTTTACTGTTTTATGTTTTGTGTATTGTATTAAAACTATTTTGTTGCAAAAATCCATAACAATAACGACAGGAGTAGACCATTCAGCACCTCAAGGCAATTTAATTAACTTAACAGTCATAGAGTCATATGGCATGGAAACAGACTCTTTGGTCCAACCAGTCTATGCCGACCATAATCCCAAACTAAACTAGTCCCACCTGTCTGCGCTTGGCCCATATCCATCCAAACGCTTCTTATTAGTGTACTTATCTGAATGTCTTTTAAATGTTGTAACTGTACCCACATCCACCACTTTCTCTGGAAGTTCATTCCATGCACGAACCACTCTCTGTGTAAAAAAAATTGCCCGTCATGTCTTTTTTAAATCTTGTGTCCTCTGGCCCTAAAAATATGCCCCCTAGCCTTGAAATCCTCAACCTTAGGGAAAAGTCACCTGCCATTCACCTTATCTATACTCCTCATTATTTTATAAACCCCTATAAGATCACCTCTCAATCTTCTACACTCCAGTAAAAAACATCGTATCCTATTCAGCTTTTCCCCATAACTCAAACCCTCCGTTCCTGGCAACTTCTCTGTCTTCCTGATTTTGTCTTTGCACCCAACAGAGAGCTGACTTTCATCCAGTTAGTCTGGACTGGATTTGAAGCCAGAGACATGAAGGACAATATAATAAATTGCAATACTCTGGCGCGCCAGTCTTATCATCTCTGCTTCATCCCTCATCCCCATATGTGGTGGGACACTCCTCCTTCAGGCACAGCTGCTTGGCCCAGCTGTTTGGGATGGGGTGAGGTTATGGTGGGGTAGTGGGAAAGAAAATATTCTTAATTAACGCTGTGGGAGCAAATATTTATGGCAAAATTCCACTGCCAGCTCTAACTAAGAGGACCTTTGCTGATGTTTAATATAAATTAGCAGATGATCGACAACTCACAAACTAAAATAAGACGAAGAACTGCGAATGCTGGAAATCTGAAACAAAAACAGAAAGTGCTGGAGAAACTTAGCAGGTCTGGTAACACTGCAGAGAGAACAACAGTATTAACTGTTTGAGTCCAGTGGCTGAGCTTTAATGAAAGATCCCTGTACTCAAGATGTAAACTCTGTTGCTCTCTCTCTGAATACTGGTACACCTGCTGAATTTCTCTATCACTTAACTGGTTTAACTCACCAACTTTTTTCATCTATGTGATACTCCAAAACCTAAGGGAAGGCAGACACATACAACACAGAAGGAGGAACAGAATGAAATAAACAGTGGGCTGTGCAAAGCTCCAATGTTTCACCTGAGCTCTTGTCCTGTCAAATATTCTGAAGGTTGATCAGGAAGGCCGGTAATTGGAGAGTGATTCTAGAGGTTTCACAGAACATTTTTTACTAATGATACATTAAAGTTTAGTTAACTGCTGAGTGAATACATCTTGTTTTTTAACTTCTGTGCTTTACTGCAAGTACAAATTATCTGTGTCTAGGTAAACATTTTTGATACATCAATGGAAAACTTAGTCAATTGTGTGCTAAAGGTTTGTGATAAATGATAATACAATGTTTGGCAATTTATTCATAAATGGGTTAAAACCTGGACTTTAATGTAACATTTTATTTTTACAGCAGTTTCAAGTGCTGCCTGTTCATCGGCCCCAAGAATTTTCAGAAACTTTCTATGTTACAATTTTCAACAGCAGAATAGATCACAATGCTCCAGACTTCCTGGCTTTCAAGCAACATTACCAGTTATACTGGGGACACATCTTGTCCTTTCTGGAATATCTTGAGAGGAAACTAAGACAATACGATGTACCAGTTGCCATTGTAGAAGGCCAGAAGTTGGCAGAAATTTCAGCTGTCTTTGAACTTAATTCACAGCCCAACTGGAAGGACCTGCTTCCTGTGGTGAAAAATAGAGAATTGGTGGAAGAGATCATCAAGCGTCCAGGCCAGCAGTATAGAGGGCCAGATGGCTTGGAAATCGCAGCTACAAAAATCCAGGCTATCTGGAGGCAATACCAGTGCAAGACCAAGTACCTCATAGCTCGTCGCCAGAAGTGGGCAGCAGGTGTTATTTCCATCTCCTGGCTCATGCGTGCTCAAAGGGTGCGGGTGAAGAAGACCCTAAAGCAGTCACGTCAGAGACACCTGGAAAATTTTCGCAGCAGGGCCAAGGTGTGTGGAGCTGCCAGCTGTTCTGCCAGCCCTCATTCTCCAAATATCTCCGCCTGAGCGCTCCTGTAAAGCTGTTCCCACATTGCCTTTCCCTGCACTTGTCTGAGAATCATATTTCATCCATCATCGGAGATGCAGCCGTTGAGGCTGCAAAGTCTGTCACTGATTTTTTTTTTTGCCTGAAAGAATAGCTCTGCCTTTTCGCCACTTTTGGTCTGTACATTTACATTACCAGGAAAGTAAATTTTCAAGTTTCCTACCTGTACTCACCAAATGGCTCTCTGAATTCATTTGAAAAGCTTCCTCTCCAGCTACAGCATGCTCAGTACTTTATTGTACTGTATTTACTTTTTGCAGACAAGTGTGTTAATTAATGCTTACTTCACTTATGTTTAGTTTCTTTTTAATTCATATTCCATTAATTAAGCAAAGCACACTCCACAATCTCTCTGCTTGGAATACTACTAGTGCATCATGTAGCGCTAATTAAATTAATTGGGGAAGATGTTTTAAGTATGTAATTAAATCAATTAATATAATTTATGCCTGGCTTGGTCTGACTGACTAAAGTGGAGCAGCTGAAGTTTAACTTGATGAATCTATTACAGCTTCTGTCACTGATCAATGCTCTTCTTGATTCCTAGCATCTGGCAGCCAACTGGAATCGCATCAAGGCCTCCAGGAGAACTATTATCCACATCCCATCATTAGGTATTGCACTTTTTTTTGCCTGCAGATTCATCCACAACCTCTATTACCCACCACATTACAGGTCCTTGATTGAGTTCAGGAAGCCCCCTTGTTTTGTTTCAAATTGGTCTCGGTAGGAAGATGTTCTTCAGATGATGAGAGTAATAACACAAGCCCTTGCTCAAAACAGCATTTAATTTCAGGATTAAGCAAATAAAGTCATTACACGGGCCCTATTCGGATGAGAGGTGATTTGCTGTAATTCACTTTCATTTGTATGAAATAGAAGCTGAAAGGCTGTGCTGAAATAGCAGATAATGTTTTCTATCTGTCTTTAATGATATGAGAATTCAGGCTCTTGCTTGTTGTCGTGTTAAATCAATAAGTGGGGAATCTCACTATATGTTGGATTTAATCAAATGTGCAGTCAAAATGATAAGCTACATTGTCTGGAATTATTTAGTTCTAATTACTGTCAGATGGGAATCTTTATTTGCACTTAAGGCAAGGGGGTTCTGGTGCTGACAAAAGGAATGCTGTGCCACGCTAAATAATTAAGACACTGAATAGTGGGCTCTCTGCTTAAATAATCTGCAGCTTTGAGTAAATTAGTACAAGCCTAACAAAATAATTACATTTTATTAATTCGGAGAATGGAAAGTCTTTTGATTCAACAAATGTTCATTCCCTATTTATGTGGGATCTTTTGCTTTGTGTTTCCTAGGGTATGCCCAGTCATTGCGATCATCTGTGCCCAATATAGATACTCAACAGAACCTACAGATGGGAAGGTTATGTGACATCAGGGGTGAGTGCTGTCATTGCCCAGCATTTGTAAAGATTGTTTTGACTAATTACTCGTATGTTCAAGGACAGGATACCTTTATGACAGTGACTTTCCTTTAATGTGCTTTATAAATTTTATGGTAAAGAGATATGCAAACTGTGTAAAGATCATCTTTTCACAGAGATATAAAAAGGTGGAAATCAAAAATAAATATAGCAAACCTGTCAGTATCCAAGATCAGAAACTAGTTCACATTTTAAGTACAAATCCTGCCTGGTGTGTACTTATGACAATTTTTGTTTTAATTTTGACGTCCCCGATCGTATATTATAGCAAATGTCTGTGAATGCAGTTGTATTTTATTTCACAAATAGTATGATGCCCTGATCAAGTAAAAGTCTGTTGTAAATTATGCAGTAATTCTAACGTTAGTCCATATGGAAAATTGGCAGAAGGCAGAGACAGCAGAGAAATATTCTTAATGGACTCTTGGGCTTCTCCGAATTGGTAAATGCCTTATCATTCAGAGGTCTTTACTGAGTTATTGCTGTGCACACATGCAGTCATAATGCTGATGATTTCTGTGAGATGGGACTGTTTAATAATTGCGCACATGTTGTAAGCATAAAAATCACAATTTTAGGCCAGGAAATGCAATATTGTGTTGATGGTTCAACATCGAGCTAAGTGTCAGCCTTGGCTCAGTAGTAGTACCCTCATATGAGCCAGAAAATCATCAGTTCAAGCATCACTCCAGAGACTTGAATACTAATTTAGACTGACATTTCAGTGCACTAACTGAAGCACTGCTGCATAGTCTGAGGTGCTCTCCTTTATATGAGGTGTAATATTTAAATCCCACAAGTGGACATAAAAGTTTCCAAGACACCTGTTCTTCTTGGTGTCCAGGCCAACATTTACTACTAATCCAACACTTCAAACAGTTGATCTGGGTCACTTATTTAATTGTTGTTTGTGGAGCTTTTCTGCAAATACATTGATTGCATTTCCTACAAGACAGCAATGAGTACTTTTTGAAAATACCTGAGCAGCTACAAAGTGTTTGGATGTCCTGAGGTCTTGTGTGGAACTATGGACATTAAAGTTTCCTTTTCCCTTTTTAATTCAGATTATTTCAGTAAATATGGTGCACATACTTAGCTGAAGTATGAAACTAACTTGAACAGCTCTTTCAAAGAGTTGGCATAAGAATGATAGGATGAATATTTTTCCTATAAATATTGCAAGCATGTACATAAATATTTTCCCTCCATTTTTGTAATGAAGGTTTATTTTTTCCTCCATTCCCTCTTTTTTTTTCCTTGTGTATTCCACACTGACTGGAAACTAGCTAATTTGGGGTCAGATTTTGAGTATAAGTGGCCATGTGGAGGTCTCTAGGAATAGCAGGGTGACTGGGTTATCCAGTGTGCACACTACAACCTCTCATTACAATCCAAGGGAGAACATAATCAGAATTTCCTCATTTTAATCACGAGATTGATCTTGACTTGATGGAGGCCATACTTCACAAGACATTGAGGAAAAAGGGGAAAAGTCATTGCAGGATCCCTGTATTGCTACTGACCAGTGGCTATTGTTGGAATATATATATGCAGACAATGGGCAAAAGTAGGATCAGATCAGGCTTGCATGCGATTTTTGAGGTTTAAGAGAATGGTGATTTGATTTTTCTTTTAAGAATTAAAAAGGTGCTCTCCATAATTTGAGGCTGATGACCCCTGCATTTCTATGTATTAGTGAAATTGAATAGAGACACGTTAAAAGACCTTTTTAATATTTATTAAGCCATGTGAAATTGCACTAGAGTTAAGATCATCAAATCAGTGCTGCAATTGAGAACTTGGTCAGTGATTTTTAATTTCTTTATAATTTACTTTCCACACTAACAACTTAGAATGTAAAATTGTTGAGGTTGTGAAAGGAAAAAAAAAATTCTCATTTCATAGCATAAAATTGTGAAAATAATTCTGTTTTCAGAACAGCCACAGTACATAAATTGATTCTCTGGTTCAAAACTCAGTCCTTTTCATGCTGTGCCAACTGTAGTGACCTACATTAACAATGCGAAAGCACCAGAAAAATAAAATTTAGAAAAATATAGTTGTACTTGGGATGAAGTTCCTTGGAATTAAATTACTTTATTTGAAAAAATGTACCTTCTATTTGAGTTTCTCATTTTCAGAAGAAATGCACAGAATCACATGAATAACAATGAGATTAGTGCTTTGGTAACAGTAATAAGAATGCAGTGTGAGGAGAGAAGTATACAAAAGTAGTGGATTAGAAATCCCTGCATTGGTTGAGTAAGATCCCTGCAAGGGATTGACCTGTCACAATGTAGTAAGAAGGCAGCAAAAATCAACTTGACCACTAGAATGAAGCTTGATAGGTGATGAGGCCAGCAAGGCTTTCAAAGGCACAAAAAGGCTAACAATAGGGGGAAATAATTATTTCTGTTATTTTTTTTCCAAATTTAATTAGGGTTTAGCCAAATAATTGACCTAATGTCCTAAGTCTCTTGGCTGATATTAATATAGTTCAATGTCAAGATAGTGTGGGGCTTGGACGGTAACTTGCAGATAGCAGTGTTCTCATTCATTTGTTGCCCTTGTCTTTCTAGTTGGTAGAGATCACAAGATTTGATGTTGCTGTCGAAGGATATGCAAACAAAGAACAAAAGTAGTTCAGCCCTTCAAACCTGCTTCACCATTCAATAACATCACAGCTGATCTGATTTTAACCTCAACTTTACATTCCTACATATGCCCAATAATCTTTCATCCCCTTGGTTATCAAGAATCTATCGACTTCTGCCTTCAAAATATTTAGATTCTGCATCCACTGCCTCTTGAGGAAGGGAATTCCAAAGACTCTCAAACTCCTAAGGGGAAAAAATAACATTTCTTCATTCCTGTTTTAAATGAGCGCCCTCTTATTTTTAAACTCTGACCCCGAGTTCTAGATTCTCTGCTAAGAGGAAACATCTTTTCAACATCCACCTGGTCAAATCTGCTAAGGATCTTAAGTATTTCAATTAAGTCATCTCTGACTCTTCTAAACTCCAGAGGATACAGGCATAGCCTGTCTAGCCTTTCCTCATAAGCAATCTGCTCATTCCAGGTATAAGTTCAGTAAACCCCTGAATTGCTTCTAATGTATTAACATCCTTGAAGAGTTTCTGCAATGTGTCTGACGGATGGTGTATACAGCTGCAAATGTGTCAGTGATGCATCGTGTGAATGTTGAAGGTTGTGATTTGCGATGTGATGCCAATCAAGCAAGATGCCTTCTCCGGTATAATGTTGAGTTTCTCGAATACTGTTGGAGCTGAATTCTTCTAGGCAAGTTCTGTCACACTCTTAAGTGGTATTCTTTAGATGGTGAACAGGCTTTGGAAGTCAAGAACTAAGTTACTCCGCTTAGAATTTCCAGCCTGTAACCTGCTTTTATAGCGTGTTATTTATGTGGTTGATACCGTTCAGCTGTAGGGTGTTGATAGTAGGATATTTGGAAATTGCAATACCATTGAATGTCAATGGGAGATATTTCTGGGTAGTCAGTACCTGAAACTTGTGTGGCATGGCTGTTACTTGCCACGTGTCAGCCAAAGCCTGAAGGTTGTCCACGTCTTGCTACATATGAACTTGTACCGCTTCAGTTTTTGAGGAATTATGAATGATAAAGAACCTAGCACAATCATCAGTGAATTACTTCAACAGTGACCTAATAATGGAAAGAAGGTCATTGATGAAACAGCTCAAGATGGTTAGACCTAGAACACTGCCTTGGAAGTCCTGCAGTAATGTCCTGGAAGTGTGATAATTGACCTCCAACAACCACAGTCATCTCCCTTGTGCTAGGTATAAAACCAACCAGTGGAGAGTTTCAGCCCAATCCTTGTTGAGTCCAGTTTTCCTAAGCTCCTTGATGCCAAACTAGGACAAGTGAGGTCTTGATGTTAAAGGGAGTGAACTTCTACTCACTTCTGAAGTTTAGCTCTTTTTTTCCCTCGTTTTTGCCAAGGCTGCAGTGATTTCAGAACTGAGAGATCCTGGCAGAACCCAAACAGAACATCAGTGAGCAGGTTATTGCTTGTGTAAGTGCCACATGAGAGCACTGTTGACAGCGACTTCAATTGCTCTTCTCAATAAATATTGGCTCAGTATCTTAATAAGATTTTGCTCCCTTGATAAATGGTTGAACACGGACAGATTTAGGATTTAAAACTGTCTAGTTTCTGGAGTTTATTGAGAAAAATGAGAAACAGATTTTGTTATACATGAACAAAATTCTATGAGGTTAAATGCGTAGATGTCATGAAGCTAGATTAGAAGATTGTAGATAAATATAGCAGGGAGCACAAACCTAGTTCAGTCTTCATTTTGACATTCTGTTTGTAAGTTTAGATTTCCGTCATGATTTCTTACATCTACATTCGTAATAGAACCTGCCTCTATGTTGCAATGTAATTATACCCACCTATCAGTGAAGGCGCTATATGAGATAACAAGGTGTAGAGCTGGATGAACACAGCAGGCCAAGCAGCATCAGAGGAGCAGGAAAGCTGACATTTCGGGCCTAGACCCTTCTTCAGAAACCAAAAATGGCGCTATATAACTTTGCAGACAGAATGGTACAGGTGAGGACAAAATAGTACAGGTGAAAGTGTGTGCGGCAAAATGACCAAACATTTTACTGGGCTATTTAATTGTGGAGCCTTTTGTGCCATAAATAAAATTTAATAAATGTTCTTTTTTTTAAATTTGCATGGATGCTGGCAGGTTTTAGTGTTCTAATCTACAATTTAGTCCATCAACTGACAATATTAAGGACAACCCTTTCAAATTGTTGAGCCCTAAATTTCAAATAAATCAGACTAGCAAGTAAGTATAAAATTGGAAAATGTGATGTCTAGGTTAGGTGGATTTGCCATGCTAAATTGCCGACAGTATCCAGGGATGTGCAGACTAGGTGGATTAGCCATGGGAAATGCAGCATTACAGGGATAGGGTACAGAGATGGGTCTGGGTGGGATGCTCTGAGAAGGGTCAGTGTGGACTCAATGGGCTAAATGGCCTGCTTCCACAGTGTAGAGATTCAATGACTAATAGGATTTGTTTCCAGAGCCTACTGGCAGACATGCTTATGAACTGTTTGTTAAAGAGAAATTTGCCCTAAAGATTTTTGGAAGCAATGAGGAGAACTCCATTTGGAGCCTAATGCAGTGCACCACATAAGCACCTAAAACAAAAGCAAGGATCATAATGAATATTTATAAAAGAAGTTTTACCACCTGTCATTACGTGTTCTTTATGCAGTGAGACAAATGATTTGTTTTACAAAGAAAATAGTCTATAGCACATTTTGTTCCTCCTTAGATGACAATATAGATGTAATCTATATTTGCCCCCTGTGGATTGGTGAGGATGTAACCCAATACTACATGAATCTACTTGGGCTACAAGAAGCCATCAAAACAGGGAAACCTGAGAAAGTAACGAACGTGGAAGATCGTCTCAAAGTCGTGACTCCTGAGGCAATAAGCCTTTTTCCTGTAAGTTTCTGCACTAATTTGATCAAGCTTGATAAGGGGACTGAGTATAGATTAGAACAGAAATCAAGGTTCATCACTGCAATTATGATCTTTATTTTCTGACTTTTTTCACCTTGAAGAATTATTGTTTTCTTGCATTTCTTCTTTTCTTAGTAAAGCCATACTTAGCAACATTCTCAAGTGGATGTTCTTCTATCAGGATACTACCAATATTAGTCTGTAACTAGAGATAGTAGGAACTGCAGATGCTGGAAAATCTGAGATAATAAGGTGTAGAGCTGGATGAACACAGCAGGCCAAGCAGCATCATAGGAGCAGGAAGGCTGACGTTTCGGGCCTAGACCCTTCATCAGAATTGGGGGAGGGGAAGGGGGTTCTGAAATAAATAGGAAGAGAGGGGGAGGTGGATAGAAGATGGATAGAGGAGAAGATAGGTGGAGAGGAAACAGACAGGTCGAAGAGGCGGGGATGGAGCCAGTAAAGGTGAGTGTAGGTGGGGAGGTAGGGAGGACGGACAGGTCAAGGGGGTGGGATGAGATTAGTAGGTAGGAAATGGGGGTGCGGCTTGAGGTGGGAGGAGGGGATAGGTGGGAGGAAGAACAGGTTAGGGAGGCGGGGACGAGCTGGGCTGGTTTTGGGATGCAGTAGGGGGAGCGGAGATTTTGAAGCTTGTGAAAACTTCCCCCCCCCCCTCAGTGGTCGAGAACGCCCTCAACCATGTCTCCCGCCCAAAACATCAGCCTTCCTGCTCTTATGATGCTGCTTGGCCTGCTGTGTTCATCCTTACTCTGTAACTACCTGTGAGAGCAATTCTCCTTCGCCCCTCTGAGGTAGAGCTAGTCTCTTTAGAGCCGTAAAGCTGAGATTTGCAACTCACATTCCACCTCTTCATGGCATCAAAAAAATCAATCCTGTATATATTTATGAACTAAGAAAGTGTTGCTAGTAGCTCACATATATGTGTTTGCATGATCCCTCTTGTATACCTCCTTCGTACACTGGGGACAGTACACAAACTTTGTCTTTTTATGACAAGAAGATGGTATGTAGAATGATACATGAAGAGAAACAAATTGATGGCCTTTGGAGCAGAGAAATATAGGAAACAACCAAGGACATAGAAAGGAAAACGCAGAGTTGGTATAACTTCTGATAAAGGAATACTGCAGTTATAAATATCATAGTTTGTGGGCACAATTAGAACTATTTCTGCACACAATCGAAAAAAATTCTGAGAATAAGTTAGTTTTATTGGTACTTGCATGTGTTGCTAATTGTGTGTACCACAGGAAGAAGCAATGAGAAATGTGAATAAAAACAAAAAGTGCTGGAAAATCTCTGAAGTTCTGGCAGCATCTGTGACTTCCTCTTCAGATTGCAGTATAGATGAATTGACAATATGGCGATGTGGCGGAGGATTTTTAGGTCAGAAGATTAAGGTACAGAATTATTTTGGATGAAGCTAAGAAATATCTAGTGGCAGTAAACATTATAGTAGTAGTTAATTAGTGCATGGTAAAATCATGAAATTAGAGTTGCATTTAACAAGGGTAGTACAGTAATCATGGGGATCTTCCATCTACTTAGAGATTGGGTAAACTAATTAGTACTTATGCTGCAGAAAATGAATTCCTGGCATGGATACAAGATAAATTTCTAGAAATCTATGTTAAATAACCAATTATAAAACAAGGTGCTTTACATTTTATATTGTGGAATGAGAAATGTGCAAATCAATAATCTTGTGGTGGTGATTTATTTTATTGTTTCATTTATTGTTGTCAGTGTCAATGAAGGGCTGGCAATGTATTTCTGAGTCAGATGGTGTATGGCTTGGATAGGAACTTGCAGGTAGTAATATTACCATGTATCTGTTGTCCTTGTTCCTTTAAGTGGTATTGGTCATGGGTTTGAAAGTTGTTGTCAAAGGAGCCTTTGTGAATTTCTGAAGTTCATCTTGTAGATGGAACACACTTCTGGTACCATGCATTGGTGGTGGCAGGATTGAATATTTGTAGATGCTGTGCCAATTAAGCTGGCTACTTTGTCCTGAATGGTGTCAAGCTTCTTGAGTTTTGTTGGAGTTGCAGTCATCCAGGCAAGTGGGGAATATTCCATCACAGTGCTGACTTGTGCCTTGTAGATAGTTGGTAGATTTATTTTGGGGAGTCAGGAGGTGAGTTAATTGCTGCAGGATTCCTCTCATCTTTGACCTGTTTCTGTAGCCACTGTATTTAAATGGCTAGTCCAGTTTAGTTTCTGATCAATGGTAAGCCCCCAGAATGTTCATTAGGTTCTGTCTCATTGGAGAGGGTTATTGCCTGGCACTTTTACAGCATAGATGTTATTTGGCACCTGTCAGGCCCAGCCTGGATGTTGTTCAGGTCTTGCTGAATTTTAACATTGCCTGCTTTAGTATTAGAGGAGTCACAAATGGTACTCAACTTTGTGCAATCATCGGTGAACATCCTCACTTCTGACTTTATGATGATGGAAGGTCTGGCAATGGTATGCTGTCAGAGGTTCTGCCTTTGGATGAGCTGTTAAACTAAAGCCATGGTCTCGGCATAATGTATTAGTATGGTGTGATAATCCTTACAAGGCCCATGGAAAATCACTTATTAATCTCCCTCTGGAGCTTGTTGAGTTTGAGTTTGCTTGGTAACAAACAAAGGCCTGCCCATCTGCAACACATCACCTGAGCCTTTTATAAAGCCGACCCAAAGAGTTCTTGCAGTTCCGTGGTAGTATCCATACCTCTGCACGAAGAGACCCAGGTTCGAGTCCCACCTGCTCCAGAGATTAATAATAACATCTCTGAACAAGTTGACAAGGAAAATAAAACAGAACCAGGGATGTATCTGCAAAACTGTCTGTCCCAGGCCAGGACTAGCTTATGCCCACCAGGAGTAGTGCCTCTATTTGGTGTTCAACAATAAACAATATTCTTGCCAGTCAGGTTTCTGAGTTATTAGGCTCTAAGTTATTGTACTTGATATTGAGTCCTGAAGACTGAGTGACCCCCAAGCAGAAAATAAAATGCTGTTCTTCCAGCTCGCGCTGAACTCTGCTAGAGCACTGCAGCAAGCCTGAGACAGATGTTGGCCAGGCAACATGGTGGTGTGTGAAAAGCCAGGCCACAGGAAGCTCAGGGTCATTTTTGCAGATACAGCATAGGTGTACTGCAAAGCAGTCACCCAGCTTGCATTCTTCTTCCCAGTGTAGAGGAGACTACGTTGTGAGCAACAAATACAGTACGCAGCTTGAATTTATTAAATGCTTAGATAATACTTATTTGGTGATTGTGATAGGAGGGATAGTATCATGAGGAGAATTGACACTGCTCACTACTCCAAAGAATAAGAATGCAGAGGGGTGTGTTACCTGCCCAGTGCCAGGATGTGGGACACCTGGTTAGTGCTAGAGAGTAAGCGGGGAGAAAAGATCCAGTTATTATGATCCATGTAGATACCAATGACATGAGCAGGGTAAGGAAAGAGATTTTATACAGTGAGTTTGTAGACCTAGCACAAAATTACTCCCTGGATTATTACCTAAACCACATACAAATTGGCATAGAGAAAGGAATATTTGAGAAATAAATGCATGACTGAAAGTTTGGTGCAGTAGAAGTGGTTTCCAGTTTGAGGGACACTGACACCAGGACTGGAGAAGTGGGTCTGTACCATGCTAAGACCGGTGTTCTGACAAGCCATGTAACTGGCGAAGTAGAGAAAGTTTTAAACTGAATGTTGGAGGCAGGGATCAAGCTTGGGAAAATGTGATAAATGAAAGTGTAGAGATAACACAGTGTGGAGCTGGAGGAACACAGCAGGCCAGGCAGCATCAGAGGAGCAGGAAAGCTGATGTTTCAGGTCGGGACCCTTCTTCAGAAATGCATTTCTGAATTCAGCATTTCTGTAAAAGGGACCCGACCCAAAACGTCAACTTTCCTGC